TTGCTATTGTGAACAAAGCTGCAATAAACATGGGTGTGATCTTTAACTTTTTATTTACTTGTTGCGTGACTTTGGGCAATTGGTTTATGCATCAATTTCCTCCTCTTTAAAAATGGAGTCACGAGTTCCGGTGGCCTAGTGAATAAGGAGTCTCGCCGCCAATCCAAAGGCAAAGAAAGGGTTTGAATCTACCAGCCGATGTGATTGACAGCCTCTGAAAATCCACTGAGAGTTAGCTGTGGGTCTGTTCTGACTCAACAGCAATGAGTATAATGGTAAGCTCATCTCATGGAAGAATGATTGTGAAATTAAATGAATACACCTAAAGGGCTTAGGAAAGCGCCTGACACATAGTGAAGGCTACGTTAGTTGTGATTGAGTTGCCTCCGACTCATAGTGACCCTGTGCAGAACAGAACGAAACCCTGGTGGAGACAAAGGAAGTAACAAAGTGTGATAAAGCATCATACATGTCATACTAGGGCCAATAAGACACTGAGCAGAGAAAGGGGTATCAGTTCTCAAGAAAAGCAGGAGGGCAGAATGTTGAAAAAGATTCACAGAACTCCAATTCTTCAGCTAAGTAAAGACCAAAACAAAACTGGACATACAGGCAGAATTAATAAACTGAATTTATTTGGGATCAAGAGAAGGGCTCCCTTCTCCTCCCCATTATGAAAAGAATTCTCTGATTCAATAAGTAAAGCACATTCCTTAAGAATACAGAACAAAAATAAAAATATGGAACAATATAATGAATAAAAGAAAAGCATTATACCGTTCCCTGTAAGCAGGGCACATATTTTGGAGAACGTATTTTCAAATTCCTCTTACTCTCAAACAGCAGAATTCAATAATTACTATAGGAACCTGTGACATCTCACAAATGCAGATAACACAATGTATGTAGTTAGGTGCTATTAAGTTGAGTATACAACTGATAACGACCTTATGAATGACAGATCTGTGCATTGCTCTTCATTTCTGACATACTTGAGCCCATTGCTGCAGTAACTCTGCCAACCTATCTGGTTGAGGATATTTCTCTCTTTCACCGACGTATGACATATAGAAGACACAAAAGTGCTTGGGCTTGCCGAGAGGTCTCAGGGACAGTGGACAGCTCACAGGTGGGATAGTGGGGAGTTTTGGAATCTGTTCCATCTGTTTCCAATCTCAGTGCTGCCACTTAAAAATAAAACCCTTAACCTTTTGGAGGCTCAGAGTCCTCATCCAAAAATAGAGACATTATCATTAACCTCATAGGAATTTTTTGTTGCTTTAACAGTATCTATACTCAGCATGATGCCCAGCAAGTAGAAAATGTTTGTTAAATGAAGCATATTGTCATGGGTTTTAGTACAAACAAGTTAGCACTTGTTGTTATTAAGTGCCGTCAAGATTTTACTGACCTAGAGGGACTCCGTGTACATCAAAATGATATGCTACAAGTAGGCTTGCATCTCTGCTCTGCCAGGGACTGCAAAGCATTAGTACCATTTATTCTCCCACACACTGGGCACACCTGACTCTAGAGAAAAGGCCTTTCAAAGGAAAGATGTGGGGATAAGTGTTGAACAGAAATATGTAGCTAAAGGAGAGAAGGAGGTTTAGGAAGTCCTAAACTTATCTGCCTTGGTTATTTGAACAGAAACAAAAATGTATTGCTATCAATCAGAACGAACTCATAGCTGCCCCTCCAGTGAATTTCCAGAGGTTGTAAATCACACAGGAGGATATTGCTCATTTTTCTGCTGTGCTAGTGGATTCAACTCACCTGCCTTTGGGTTGTCACGGCAACTCCTTACCCACTAGGCTGCGAAAGCTCCCTCTTGGTTATGTTGTGCTGACAGGACAGCGGTGCTCTGATCGTGTAGTCTGTAGGGAGCTGCACCACTATCCTAAAGGTGACACCTTGGTGGTTATTCACGTTCACCAGTAATTCCATGAGACAAAGATAAACAATCTCTTCCCATGCATTTTTTGGCTTTCTAAAAACCCTCAGTCAGCACTTGGCCTGGTTTTGACTGCCAATTTTGAGTTTCTCCAATGATTCCTACCAACGATGTAGTAAATTTTATTTCTATGTCGTCCATCTCGTAAGGTCCATGTGCAAAGTCAACATTTGTGTTTTTTGAAAAAAGATACTTGAGATAAGTACATAATTGAACACACAAATTCCAACAACATAATGAATAATAATGTACTAATAATATAAAGAACAAATGGATAACTTGTGGAGATGGTGCAGCCAGTATGTCGGATTATGAAGATGGAACAGGATAGGATAGGATTCAGATCTATTGTTCATAGGGACATTATGGGTCATGCCATAGTGACCATGGCACATAACTACAACAACAACAACCCCAACACCCCTCTGGAGGATCAGCTATGATTTTGATCCAACTCAAAGACAGTGAGTTTGAGTGTTTTGATTTATAGCAGTTATGGCAACGATGTCAGTCTGGAGACATGGTCTTTGCAATTACTTGCTATACTTCAGAGAGCTGGGCAATGACTGGGAATGATAGAAAGAGAATTGATGCCTTTGAGCTGTGGTTCTGGAGAAGAGTATTGAATATACCATGGACTGCTAGGAGAACAAACAGGTCATCCTAGAGAATGTGAGACTAGGCTACTCCATGGAGGCAAAGATTCTGAATCTTCATCTGACATACTTTGAACAAGTTGCAAGGTGGGACCAGTCCTTGGAGAGGGACATCATATTTGGCATGCTGGAAGGATAGTGCAAGAGAGGAAGACCCTTGATGAGATGGATTATTGAGTCAGTGACTGGAGTTAGATGTGTCAGAAACAATAAAATTGGCACAGGACAGAGCGGGGTTTAGGGCTGTTGGGTCGCTATGAGTCACAGGTAACTCGACAGCACATAACAATAACAACAACAACCACAAGTGGA